AAGCAATCTACAGATTTAATGCAATCCTTATCAAAATACCAACATTTTTCACATAACTATAACAAATGATACTAAAATTTGCATGGGAACATAAAAGACCCCAAATAGCCAAAAAAGATCTTAAAAAAGAACAAAGCTGGAGGTATAACAATCGCAGATTTTAAGATATACTAGAAAGCTGTAATAATCAAAACAGTATCATACTGGCACAAAAACAGACACATAGATCAATGGAACAGGATAGAAAACCCAGAAATAAACACATGCTTATATGGTCAAATTAACCTAGGACAAAGGAGGCAAGAATATACCATGGGGAAAAGACAATCTCTTCAACAAATGGTGCTGGGAAAACTAGACAGCTACATGCAAAGGAATGAAACTGGACCACTTTCTAATGCCACACACACACACACACACACACACACACACACCCCTCAAAATGGATTAAAAACCTAAATGTGAGACCTGAACCCATAAAACTCCTAGAGGAAAATATAGGCAATGATTTCTCTGACATCAGTTTTAGCAACATTTTTCTAGATATGCCTCCTCCAGCAAGGGAATCAAAAGCAAAATTAAACTATTGGGACTACACCAAAATAAAAAACTTTCGTACAGTGAAGGAAACCATCAACAAAACAAAAAGGCAACCTACTGAATGGGAGAAGATATTTGCAAATGACGTATCTAATAAGCAGTTAATATCCAAAATATATAAAGAACTTACACAATTAAACACCACAAAAACAAAGAATCCAATTAAAAATGGGCAGAAGACACAACAGACATTTTTCCAAAGAAGGCATCCAGATGACCAACAGATACATGAAAAGATGCTCAACATCCCTTATCATCAGAGAAATGCATATCAAAATCACAATGAGATATCACCTCATACCTGTCAGAATGGCTAAAATCAAAAACACAAAAAATAACAAGTTTTAGCGAGAACGTGGAGAAAAAAGGAAACCTCATGCATTACTGGTGGTAATGGAAACTAGTGAAACCACTCTGGAAAACAGTATGAAGGTCCCTCAAAAAATTAAAAATAGAATTACCATATGATCCAGTAATTCCACTACTGGGTATTTAGCCAAAGAAAAGAAAAACACTAATTTGAAAAGATATATGCACACCCTACACCCTATGTTTACTACAGCATTATTTACAACAGCCAAGATATGGATGAAACCCAAATGTCCATCCATAGTTGAGTGAAGAAGATGTGGTATGTGTGTGTACACACATACAACGCAATATTACTTAGCCATAAAAAAGAATGAGATTTTGCCATTTGCAACAACATGGATGGACCCAGAGAATATAAAGCTAAGTGAAAAAAAGTCCGTCAGAGAAAGACAAATACCATATGATTCCACTCATATGTGGAATTTAAGATAAAAAATAGAGGAACAAAAAAAAGGCAATCAAAAAAACAGATTCTTAAATACAGAAAAACTGGTGGTTACCAAGGGAAGACTGGTGGGGGGAGGAGTGAAATAAAGGAGATAAGAGTACACTTATCTTGATGACCAGAGTAACACACAGAATTGTTGAATCCTTATACTGTAATCCTGAAACTCACATATAACACTGCATATTAATTTTACTTAAACATGGACATTTCTAAAGAAGAGTAAACTTAACAAAGGAGGTGCCTTTAATGCCAGAAACTACAAAAGGTAGCTGAAAGAAATTAAGGAATACACAAATAGAAAGATGACATCCCATGTTCATGCGTTGGAAGATTCAATATTGTTATGATGTTAATACCACTGAAAGCAATCTACAAATTCAAAGCAATCCCTATTAAAATCCTAATGACGTTTTTGCAGAAATAGAAAAATCCATCCTAAAATTCATATGGAATCTCAAGGGATTCTGAATAGTCACCATAATCTTGAAAAAGAACAAAGTTGGAGGTCTCACATTTCCTTATTTCAAAACTTACTAAAAGCTACAATAATCAAAACAGTATGGTACTGGTATGAAGACAGACATGCAGATCAATGAAATAGCCCAGAAATAAACCCTCACAGTTATGTTCAAATGATTTTTTTAAAGATTTTATTTATTTATTTGAGAGAGAGAGAGAGAGAGCACAAGAGGAGGGAGGGTCAGAGGGAGAAGCAGACTCCTTGCTAAGCAGGGAGCCCAATGTGGGACTCGATCCCAGGACTCCAGGATCATGATCTGAGCTGAAGGCAGTCGCTTAGCCAACTGAGCCACCCAGGCGCCCTCAAATGATTTTCAATAAGGGTGCCAAGACCATTCACTGGGGGGGAAAAAGCAGTCTTTCCAACAAATGGTGCTGGGACAACTGGATATCCACATGCAAAAGGATAAAGTTGGACCCTTGCCTAAACCATATACAAAAGTTATCTCAGGGTGCCTGGGTGGCTCAGTCAGTTAAGCAACTGCCTTTGGCTCAGGTCATGATCCCAGGACCCGGGGATCGAGCCCCATGTCGGGCTCCCTGCTCAGCAGGGAGTCGGCTTCTCCCTCTGCCCCTCCCCCTGCTTGTGCACTCACGCCCTCTCTCTCTCAAATAAATAAAATCTTTTCAAAAAAGTTATCTCAAATTATCAAAGACCTAAATGTAAGAACTAAACCTATGAAACTCTTATTAGAAAACATAGGAGAAAAGTTTCATGACACTGGATTTGACAAAGATTTCTTGGCTGTAACACCAAATGTATAGGGAACAAATAAAAAATAGGTAAGTTGGAATCCATCAAAATTAAAATCTTTTGTGCATCAAAGGACACTGTCAACAGAGAAAAGGCTACCCATAGAATGGGAAAAAGTATTTGCAAATTATATATCTGATGAGGGATTAGTATCCAGGATAAAAAAAAAGACTCCTACTACAACAAAAACAATCCCATTAAAAAACTGAAAAGGACTTAAATAGACATTTCTCCAGAAAAGATATACAAGAGGCCAACAGCACATGGAAACATGTTCAACCTCACTCATCACTAGGTATGAGATAACAGAAAATACATATATGGGTCTCTGCACCTGGTTCCCCATTTAGAACTCCTAAAACCCTTATAACTTCTAAGTGATAAGAGCATAAGGAGTGTCTCTTATTCTAATATTTGGTCTTTAACCTTGTACCTGATACAGGGCTCCTAAATACCTTGTTATTTCCTAAGTGATAACAGCATTAGGAGTATCTTTTGCCCTAATGAGGCAACTCTGGGTGGGCTCCTAGATGTGGGCTGGTCACCGAATAACTAAGCCATAATTAGATGTTGGAATTTTCAGCCCCACCCTTCATCCTCCAGAGAGGGAAGTGAGGCTGGAAATGGAGTTAATGACTGATCTTGCCTAAGTGATGAAGCCTCCATAAAAATCCCAAAAGTAGGTAGGAGATTCACAGAGCTTCCAGGTAGGTTAACACATCCAGGTACCAGTCAGGTGACACATCCCAACTCCAAAAGGACAGAAGCTCTTGCACTCAGGACCTTCCCAGAGCTCACCTTACATATCTCTTCATTTGGCTATTCAGCTGTATCTTTTATCATATCCTTTAATAAACTGGTAAATGTTAGTAACTGTTTTCCTGAGGTCTGTGAGCTGCTGTAGCAAATTAACTGAACCCAAGGTTATAGCCAATCAGTGAGAAGCACAGGTGACAACCTAAACTTACAATTGGCATCTGAAGTGGGGTAGGGGGAGTCTTGTAGGATTGAACCCTTAACCTGTGGGATCTGACACTATCTCCAGGTGTCAGAATTGAGTTAAATTATAGGACACCCAGCTGGTGTTGCAGAGAATTGTTTGTTGTGGGAAAAAAATCTCCACATATTTGGTGCCCAGAAATGTCAAAAGTAAAGTGTTCTGTGTAAAAGTAAAGGAGGCACACAGGAGAGGAGAACAGTAGGTTTCCCAATATAGTAGTGAAATGCCAATCAAAACCACGATGGAGGGGCACCTCGGTGGCTCAGTTGGGCATCTGCCTTCAGCTCAGGTCATGATATCAGGGTCCTGGGATCAAACCCAACATTGGGCTCCCTGTTCAGCAGGGAGTCTGCTTCTCCCTCTCCCTCTGTCCCTCCCCACTGCTGGTGCTCTCTTGCTCTCTCAAATAAATAAATAAAATATTTAAACAAACACAATGGAATACCACTTCACACCCATTAGGGTGGCTATTATTCCAAAAATAAAAAAGGAAATAACAAATGTTGGTAAGGATGAAATGGGAACCCTGTGCACTGCTGATGGGAATGTAAAATGATGCAGCCACTGTAGAAAACGGTATGGTGATTCCTCGAAAAATCATACATAGAATTACCACATGATCGAGCAATTACACTTCCAGATATGTATGCAAAAGAATTCAAAGCAGGAACTCAAACAGGTATCTGTACTCCCATGTTCATAGCAACATTATTCACAACAGCCAAAAGGTGGAAGCAACCCAAGTGTCCGTTAATGGACGAGTGGCTAACCAAATTTTCATGTGTACATACAATGGAATATTATTCAGCCTTAGAAAGGAAGGAAATTCTAACACACACTACAACATAGATGAACCTTGAAGGCACTATGCTAAGCAAAATAAACCAGTCACAAAAGTAAAAATAGAGTGTTAAGATTCCACTTATATGAGGTACCTAAAATAGTCAAATTCATAGACACAGAGAGTAACATGGTGGTTGCCAGGAGCTGGCGGGAGGGAATATGGGGGATTAATGTTTAATGGATACGGAGTTCCCATTTGGGAAAATAAAGAAGTTCTGAAGATGGATAATGATGATGGTTGCACAATGTGAATATACTTAGAGCCACTGAACTGTACGCTTAAAAATGGTTAAAATGGTATATTTTGCTATGTATACTTTGCTATAATAAAAATATAGAGAGCACACTAAAACAATCTCCCAAGTGTTGTGAGACTGAAGACCTATGTAGAAAAGCTTTGTAATCTACACAGCCCTTCACAAATACTAGCTCTTTTTAATCATTATCACCCTGTTTACCCCAACCTGATACCATTATCCACATGTTCTGTCCAGCCATGTTCACCCAGCAGCACACTGTTGGAGTGTAAGTGTGGTACAGTGATAGCCACCTTCGTTTTGCTAAACCCTGGATTTCACGTGTCCCTGCAACAGTCTCCCAGAGTTCTGGTCCTGAAACAGAACAAGCCCCCCAAAAGACATAAGTTTTAGACAAGCCTGATTGGAGTCTCGAGAAAAAACTCAGAGACTTCCTCCTCTTACCCAGTTTTCCCCAATGCTTGGTTTGAAAGCAGTCCTCATTCAGCAGCAAGAGGTCACCATGCCATTGCCAAGAACAAGGAAAATCTTCTTCCAATTCAGCTGACCAACTAACTCCCTGGCCTGCTACCATGCAATGTATCTCATAAGACAGCCCTTGAGCAGGTGAACAATCGGGAACCTTCCGGATTCTAGGAAACAAATATAGGAAATGTATTCGTTGAGCATGAATTGAGAATAGAAGTACTTAGATAAGAAATAAAAAATGAGGGGCACCTGGGTGGCTCAGTTGGTTGTCTGCCTTTGTCTCAGGTCATGATCCCAGAGTCCTGGGATCGAGCCCCACGTTGGTCTCCCTGATCAGAGGGGAGTCTGCTTGTCCCTCTTCCTCTGCCCCTGCTCTCTCTCACTCACTCTCTCTCAAATAAATAAAATCTTTAAAAAAAAAAAAAGAAATAAAAAATGAAAATGCTAAAATCAAAAAACCAGAATGACCAGCTTTGATGGACTGCACAATTCTCGATATTGTAGCCTCAGAGCTGAACCCTCAAATACTCACAGAAAGTATAAATATTGCTGCAGAACAGGTATGATAATGCAGTAGTGCAAAACTTAGGAATGTTTCTTTCTGGAAAGCAAGCCAATTGGAACCTACATCCAGATACTGACCAGGATCTGTGTCAGCATTCAGGTGCTCTCTGAGAGCCCCAAGTTTCCTTAGCTATTACAGGTGCTGCTCATTGAGAATCTCTCCAAACATGGATAATGCTACAGTGCCATCTGGAATCTTCTTCATGCAGTGATGTATATCCAGGGGTTGCTGCCTTTGCAGATAGTCCCTGGAGACCAATGAGGGCTTTTATTCCATGGCTCTTTGAGGAACTTAAAATGTAGATCAAACATGAAGTAGTACTTACCCCAGCCTTGGAAGTTTGACCTTCTATGGCCAAGTCTCTGTGCCCTCACAATCTTGAATGTCTTTGCTTGCTTCATTTATACCTTATCCAAGATTCTTAGTATCATCAACCAGACTAAATAACAACTGTTTTCCACAGAACTTTCTGCCAGTGCCCCACAAATCTTGACTGTGGTTTCCCAAATTCTTTGATTCTCCACAACGCACCCTTTCTCTTCTGTACAATTCCCCCAAATAACACTTATTCTAAATATAGTTCCACTTGTGTAGAAATGCATCTTTCCTAGTTTTCCCCCCACCTCTGCATACTGCACCTATGTTGTTAACTGAGGTTCAGTCATAACACCTACAACAACAGCATCAGACGCCCTATCTTCTGTCTTCATTTTGTTATAACCTATAGGCTAAAGATACGTATCACTCCAAGATTGCTACAGTGAAGGAAAACGACTCTGAGGGACAAGAGGCACTGAGGCAGGAGTCACTAGCACGGGGCCTATAAATGAAACCCAAATATACAAAAGCTTACGAAACATCCCCTGCACACACCTCCTCTTTTATAACCAGTAGAGTGAGGTTTGAAGAGAACCAACAATCCATTCTCTACAAACGCCCATTCAGGTTTCGCATGGCACTGGTTATAGGTGCCTCGACCTATTCTTGGGTGGTTCATTGTTATAAGCCACCAGCCTAGGGTCACCAAGTCAGATGCTCTAAGTTCTTTTCCAAAAATGGTAATAAAACATGTTGAGTCACTCATATTCCCTCAGTTATACTGGGAGGCAACAGCTACAGCAGTTAAACATTCAGTCTCCGAGCCAAAGCAATCTGAGTTCAAATCATGCTTTAGCCGCTTGTTGAGTACCAGCAGTCAATGATCTTTTCTGAGAATCCCGTAGCGACGCCCTCCGCCAGCTCGCTCCCTCACCACCAAACGCATGGAGCCCAGGGGCTACACAAGAGCAGACAGGGGTCTGTTCTCCCTTTACCTCCCCATCTCCTCGGCTATGGTGACGCCTTGAATTTGAGCGCTCCGCAGTCTCTCATTCCCTAGACTGCCACGACTCTCTCTCCTCATGTTGCTTGGTACACTCCAGCTTTCACAAACAGGCACGCTGCTGGGGCGGGACCAAGCACTTTCCCTCCCCAACAGGGCGGAACTAAAATGAAAGGGCCAAGGTTGTTAGCGAATGACTTCCCTATTACCATGGTAAAGCGGCTGCCGCCATCTTTATTGTGATCGATGATTCCTCGTGTTGGTCTAAGAAAAAATGAATAATAAGGGATTCTACAGACTAAAATCCTGCAAGTTAGTCCGGCGCCGCCCTACTCTAGGTCGGAACGGAGTTCTCTTCCGGCCGCAGCCCAGCCCGGAGTGGTTAGCTCTTCGGGACAGAGCGTGCGCCGGCTGCTGACGTAATGACGCCAGGGGAGGGGCCATGTGTACGCCCCGCCCAGGTGCTTCCGGCTTACGCGCCGTGCAGAAGCGTGTTTAGCGCAGAGCTCACGCGCCGTACGGAAGTGTGCTCTGGCGCACCGGAAGCTGCCGGAAGAGAGCGATGGCGGGTTTGACTGTGAGAGACCCTGCGGTGGATCGTTCTCTGCGTTCGGTGTTCGGTGAGACGAATTCGTGGAGCCAAGCATCCGGGAGGGACAGAAAGAGACAGGGAGCAGCAAGGAATGCCCCCTGCACCTCTTGAATTGTTGCAGGAGCTGGTGATGGGTCGGGCTTGCAGCTCTACCTGCCTATCCTTTGGGGCGGCCAATCTAGTGGACTCGCGGGCAAAGTGATGCTCTCTTCCCCTGAGGTCTCAAAGCCTTTCCATGATGTGGCTGAGGAAGTTAAACTGGCGTTCAGCTTCTATGTGTTTCTCCTTTTATGAGCTTCAATTATTGTTTGGAATCGAGGGCGCATGGCAACTGTCCCGTACTACTTCTCACTCCCTATCCCAGAATACAGATTATATGCTGAGTGTATAGAACTCTATGTCCACTTCCCGCCCTCTCAAAAGGACTTTCATCCTCTGCTTTTTACCGTAACATTTTAGTTCGATACTGGTAGCGGCCACCGGGAGTCTTAAAGTGGATTGTAAATGAATGAATGAACGAATGATTAAGATCTCGTCGAAGAAATTTTAAAGAGGATCAGGTCTATTCTGAGTAATCTTTTCAGATGAAATAAGTTTCTTTTAAGTACGTGTGGTGATTTTAAAGCACCTTTTGGAAAGAACATAACAAAACAGATTAGAATAATTTTTAAACATCCTCCACTACATTCATGGTTATTCTTGAGTGTGTGTGTATGTGTGGAAATACGGACATAATGTGCCAGTTTTTAAAATACCAAATACATTGGTATTTTTAGTAGTTACCGGTAAGACTTGCAGATCTTCAGGTAAATACCAGTGCGAAGGTATTTATTTTCACCGAAGTTAAGGAAAATCATAACACTTGTCAGATAAGTCTGAGAACTTTTAGAAGTGCCTATACCTTTTATATTTTAGTCTTAGTGGTTTATTTGTTTTGTAATTAAAGTCAGCAGACAAGATTGAAATGTCTGAAATACCATGGAACTGGGATTGTAGGAACACTATTTTGAGGTAGTTGTTACATTTTCAATGATATAAGTTCTGATTCTGTTTACTTTCTCACAAGGGAAATAGGTTACAAACTCAAGAGTTTTAATATATTGTCTATTTTCTTTCATAGTGGGGAACATTCCATATGAGGCTACCGAAGAGCAATTAAAGGACATCTTTTCTGAGGTTGGACCTGTTGTTAGTTTCAGGTGAGATTCTCCTTTGACTACTTGGGGTTTTCTTTAAAATCACAAATTTGGCCCTTAGTAATAATAGCAAGGTTTTTACTGGTGACTTTTCACATGCATCCTTCTATTTGTAACAGCTTTATTCAGGTATAATTCACATACCATACAACTGACATTTATTTTTACTAAAAGATACTTTTTTTTTCATTTAAAAATGTTTAAAAAAATATTTCAGTGAAGCAGTCAGTTATAACGTTATTTGTCTTACAGTGGACCAAATTAGAACATGGCCATGTTAGCAGGAACACTATATGTGTGTAACATTTGTGCCTGATACTTGGTTCTGCTCTTCCAGGTTGGTATATGATAGGGAGACAGGAAAACCAAAGGGTTATGGCTTCTGTGAATACCAAGACCAGGAGACAGCACTTAGTGCCATGCGAAACCTGAATGGGCGTGAGTTCAGCGGGAGAGCACTCCGAGTGGACAATGCTGCCAGTGAAAAGAACAAAGAAGAACTGAAGAGTGAGTATGAACCTGATTTGTACGCAACATGAATTAGTAAAGATGTAACAATGAAGATTTTTCCATTTGTGATATGTTTTAGCACTCGCTGAAATGGTTAGCCTCGTAGCTTCTTGACCCACTTTAGGCGCCTGCCTTAGGGAAGTGTATATCTTTGAGAAACAAGGTAAAGTTGACTTTAGAAGTCCTTCAGTTGTGAAGGAGTTGGTTGACAGTTGAAGATGAATTCAGGCTCACCAAGTCATTAGTTGCACTATGTCATTAGTTTACCACTGCTGTAACGGTTTGTCAGATCTGTAATTGGTGGGATTACTAAGGCATTCTGGCTTCTTTCACGAGGCAACAGATCAGGGATTCCATTTTGAAATTAGCATCTTTTTCTATTCTTTTGCTATTAAAAATTAGCATCTTTATTATTTCTCTTCTGAAATGACTTGTCAGAGGAAATCGATATGCCTCATCCCTAATTCAGGTTAACATTGTCCACCTATGTGATCCTAGTCCCAGCTTTCTTCTGAGAGCAGAAAATACACTCTTGTCACTTTCCTCTGCAGAAATAAGGACTTGCAAATCACTTACTTCTCAGTTCCAGAGAATTTAAAGTTACAACGGGTCCTGGAAAGGAAGCAGCCCTGGAAAGTAAATACTTGAAATGATTTAGCTCATAATTTTGCCTCCTTAACTTTTTGTACTTTCTTCCCGATCAGGCCTTGGCACTGGTGCCCCTGTCATTGAGTCACCTTATGGAGAGACCATCAGTCCTGAGGATGCCCCTGAGTCCATTAGCAAAGCAGTTGCCAGTCTTCCACCAGAGCAGATGTTTGAGCTGATGAAACAAATGAAGGTGGGAGGAGGCATTAGGTTAAGAACAAATCAAATCACATCAAATTTTTGAGGAGCTAATTGATCGAGTGAATGGAAATAATTCCCTGAGCTCAAATATAAGGTGTGCCTGTTGACCACCACTTCTTGCACCTTCGATATGCCATATGTGCACAGCATATTTTACATTTCGTACAAAGAGCTTTCCATTTTTTGTACACAGACACAACTATACAATCTGGCTTTTTGTGACCCATAGATATCAGATGTAGATATTCAAATGTGGCTTTTCTCCTAAATGGTGGTATTATGGTATTTGAAATGCCTCTTCCTTCTCTTGCCTGACATGACCAAAATTTTGTGTGCTATGCCAAAACCGATGATAGCTTAAAAAGCTTCTTGAATATTATATTTCTCAGATGGGAATGGCTCTAAATCGCTATTAATTTCTAAGTACTAAGTATTGAACCTGATGATGAATCTATTTATCTTCTCAGCTCTGTGTCCAGAATAGTCCCCAGGAAGCACGGAACATGTTGCTTCAGAACCCTCAGCTGGCTTATGCTTTGCTACAAGCACAGGTAGTGATGAGAATTGTGGATCCAGAGATTGCCCTGGTGAGTGCTTCTTATTCTTTTATGGAAACGCCACGGTAAACCTTGAGTGGGGTAGGAACTGCCTGATTGCTTTGTTAAGCAGACAGCTCATAGATTTGTCTTTTCGTTTTTTAGAAAATTCTGCATCGCCAGACAAATATCCCAACGCTGATTGCAGGCAACCCTCAGCCAGTCCACAGTGCTGGGCCTGGCTCAGGATCCACTGTGTCAATGAACCAGCAGAATCCTCAGGCCCCTCAGGCCCAGTCTTTGGTAGGGCTTTATCTCCTAACGTTTCTTTTACGTGTTTTGAATGCCATTTTCATGTTAAGAAGATAATACTGAGAGAAGAACAGTCAGGAGCTGAAGATGATAATTTCAATTCCCGGACATAAAAGCAATTTTCAGTTTGCAGAGTACATGGCATCTGTGCCAAGTTTGTGAAACAAAGAGATCCTTCCTGTGTGTCCTTTTATATAGGCTAATTTGATATTTATGTGCATGTGTGGTACTATGGTTGGCACTTTGTTATTCTACATCCATTATCTCATTTAGTACTTAGACTCTAATTGAATGAGGTTGGCACTCTTACTATCTCTTTACCAGTGGTAAAAAGTAAAGCTTGCTTGCCAAGAATGACACAAAACTGAAGCCATAAGAAATCAGTACATTTGAAAACTGAAAAATTTCTGTATAGAGAAAAAGAAAGAAACTGTAAAGACAAATGACAAATTGGGAAAAACTGTTTGCCACACACATGACGGACAACAGGCTGATTAAGAGTTCTTAGTCATGTTCAAGAATGTTTATTGCCACATTATAATAGTGAAACATCGAAACATCCTAAATGTAAATCAGTGGAAGAATGGGGAAAATGTTGTATATTTATCCAGTGAAATACTCTATAACAGTTAAATAAATTGCACAGGTCACCATGAATGACTTCCAAAAACCTAATTCCATGTAGTAGTAAAGATGAACTAGGATACATGGTATTAACACAGATAACTCAAAAGTTACAAAAGTGAAAATAAGTGACTGTGGAAGCCTTCCCAAAATATGGGATGTATGTGTTTGCACATATCCCAAAACCATGTTGAATGAGTTGCAAATATGTCTAGTACATAATGATTTACATACAATTTCAAAACATCTGTAAAAATTCTTAAGTGCTTGTCTTAAGAAGGGGACACAGGATGCAATTGGGGAAGACCATAAGGCAGATTTCAAATATATATAATATATTTATTTCCTAAACTGTATATTTATTTTCTATGCAATTTATATATCTGGAATTTTTCATAAGAAAAGTGTTCAACCTCAAAATAAGGTAAACATAAACAGAAAGAACAGTAATCTACCATTTTTTACCATTCAGATTGGGAGAGGTAAAGAACTTGAAGTCAACCATAGGTGCCACGTATGGCCTCACAACACAGATCAGACTTGTCAGTC